GGCCCGCCCCCGACGCCGCGGCGGCCGCGCCGAGCCTGCAAGCGCTGGAGACAGCATCGCGCGGGCCGGCGGCAAGGACCCTCCCCCGTCTCCTCCCCGAGGCCGCCGCCGCCCGGTGCGTCCGCCCTCCGGCCCCTCCCCGCCGCCGGACCCTCCCTCGGAGCGGGCCAGCCTCCGCGCGGCCCGGGAGGCCGGATCCCTATTCGGGGGCGTTCGTCCTCCGCCCGCACCCAGCGCACCTGGCGCCCCTCCCTGAAGGGCACGCCGTCCTCTCGGCCCGGCCACCGCCGCCTTCCCTCCCCCGCACTCCTGACGGTCGTCCTCGGGCCCCTGCAAAACCCTACTGGGGGGCCCATCCTGGCCGCCGCGGCCCAAATGCCCCACTGTGGCCGGGCCCTTGCTGTGCGCCCCGCGCTCCCTGGAGGTTCCCCCAGCGTGCTTCTGGGTTCTCATCGGAATGAGCTGGGCCTTGCGAGTCTCCAAGTGCAAGCGTTCCACGACTTTGACCAACATGGAAGCCGTCTCCTCCACTCAGGCACCTCGCCTGGTTCTTCACCTACGTTTCCTTTCAGCCAGTGACCGTAGTGCTTGGTCATTGGGGGGTCTCCTTCCTCCTGGTTGTCCGGTCGCGTTAAACACCTTCCTTCGCAGGGGTTACTTGTCTTCCCTGTCACCAGGTCAGGCCCTTCCCAGCTTATGACCCCAGGGAGCAGGTCCCTGGCCATAGTCCCTCACACTTTGCCTTTTTTATTTTGAAGTAAGTCTATAAAGAGATTCCGGTGTATCTGCTCTTACCCAGTCAAGCTGGAATACCGGGTCAGCTTCTACCGTCTTTTCCATTCTAGTGCTCAGCACGGGGAGATGCTACATAAATACTTGTTGGCCGGATCTTTCCTCCAACCACTTCGTCTTATTACCTCCTGCCTCTCAAATCATCAGCCTCCACACACCCTCTCCACCACTGCCCTACAGAGCTGACAGCCGTTTCATCTTAGCTCTCCACCCCTTGCCTTTGCTGCTGAAACACCGTCACCATCAGTAAACCTCTCCCCTTTGATCTCTGGCTCCTTCCCATCTCTAAGTCTTATTACCTCTTGTCTCTCAAAGTGCGGCCCTCACAAAAATCATCAGCCTCCACACTTCCACCACTGCCCTACAGAGCTGACAGCAGTTTGAATTTAACTCCCCACCCCTTGCCTTTACCACTGAAACACCATCACCATCAGTAAGCCGCTCTCCTTTGGCATCTGTGATTAGGAGTTTGGTTTCTGGCTCCTTCCCATATCTAGTGTTCCCTTTGTGGCTTCCGTCCCGGCTCCAGTTTTATTTCCTGGATGGAAGATATTGGTCCTCCAGTGGTCTGTCATGTCAGGGAAGGATTTGGGCAGAGCTGGACTTTGTATTCCTGCCATTGCTTGGGGACCAGGTCCCTTGAGGGCCTCATACAGTGATTATAGTCAAGTAAACCACATGGTTAGATTTCTGGATTAGCTTTTTGTGCCAGTGGACACATTAGTCATTTATGTGATTTGATACACTTTAGCCCTCACTTTCACATCTGTGGCTGGAGTTTGGGGTAGAAAATAGAGCCCTGCTTTAGAAGAGAGAAGGTGAGAAAAGGAACTATGGGAAGGATTTTAAAAGTATCCGGAAATTAGAAATTCTTTCAAAGTCAGAAAGCATGCTTGAGAGTTTGGAATGGTTGCTGCCACCATGTGTGCCATGCTCTCTCTAGTCTTGGCTAGAGTGTTGAAGACTTAGGGGTGCCATGTATGGGCAGCTGCAGCCTCCCTTCCTTGTTTTCTCTGGCTAGAGCCCAAGGCTGGGCAAGTGGGCAAAAGGGATCAAATGAGGTAAAGTGTGAAAGAGCTTTGAAAACTTGTGTGCAGTTGCCAAGTGGTGCTGTTATTTGTCATGATGGCTCAGAAAGTAGAGAACTGGGATAACTGAGCAGCCTGGGTGGTTGGGGGAGCTTGGGTTTACATCTCTTTTTTAAGCCTCAGAGTGCTCACTCTACCACGCAAAGAAAATCTTTCCATCCTGAGAAAGGGCCAAATCACCTCCACCGGCTTGAGGCTGGGTGGTTGCTCCAAATGTTAGGGAATTTGGGATTCTGCTTCTGTTAATAGTGGTATAGTTCTGTGCCAAGGCACATTGCTCCGGATTAAGGCTAATTTTAGGGGTGATGGAGTGAGGAGATAATGTTCTTAACTTAGAGTGTACTGGGACCACCTATCATCTGCATCTTTTTTCCTCCCCAGAGTTCTGAACACCAGAGAACTGCCTCCCTTCTAGTGTCTCCAGCCTTTTGGAAGCACCCAGGCCCAGCGGGTTCCTGCCCCTTCTCTCCAGCAGGGGGCAGCCTTTTAATAAGAATAATTTAGACACTGGGGCAGTGAGGGTAGACTGAGCCCTTAGAAAGGGAAGGCTTGGGGAAGGAGTGAGTAGCTAAGGACAGGGCTGAGGGACAGGGACAGGGTGGAGGGGGCCTTGGAGGAGGAGACCCTTAGCCTAGGTAGCCAGAGAAAGGGAAGGCAGAACAGGATGCCATCCCTGGGCTCCTGTCACTTCTAGCCCTCTTTTCTAGCCCTCTTTTCTTCATTGGAAAGGAATCCAAACGTTTGGCTTTGAGAGTTTGTGATAGACAAACTTAGGGCAGTTAAAAAATATATATCTACTCTTAAGGATTTCCCTCTTGGCAGGATTTCAGATTTCTCTCATGGGACAGTGTAATTAGGGAATGATTTTCCTGCTGTTTGGAGTCATAAACGTGGTTTCTATTGTCTTCCATTTTTCCCCATGCTCATAGTGTAGAGAAGGCTTCTGGGTGCTGGCACTATTGATATTCAGGACTGGATAATTCTTTGTTGTGGGGAACGCCCTGTGCCTCATAGTGTGTTAAGCAGCATCCCTGGCTTCAACCTCCTAGATGCCAGTAGCACCCTTTGCCCAGTTGTGACAGCCCAGAATGTCTCCAGACATTGCCAAAAGTCCTGTGGGGAACAGAGAGGGCCCCAGTTGAGAACCACAGGCTTTGAGGTGGCATTTGGGGCCCATGCACACACCAGGCAGCCATAGCTGCTGCTCTAGTTCTAAGAAGGGACTGGGCAGCCCCCAGCTTCTGGCATCAGCCCATTCTCTCATGGTGCCCGGAGACTTAACCCTGTTGTCCTGGTTTCTCCCCCAAGAAGGTGGGTGGTATGGGCTTTCTCCTACCCTCTGCCTCCTCTCCCCACCTCTTTTTCCCTCTGCCAAGACCTGGTGGCACCAAGGAGCCAGGGTGTGTGCCTGGCAGGTGGGAGGGCAGGGTGGTCCCTTTTTCTGTCCTCTTCCCTCCATCTAGCAGTACTTCCATGCCCCTAGGACTAGCTTCTGTTCTTCTAGAAGGAATGAACTGGAGGAGATTCAAAACTGCCTCTCCTGAGGCCTGTTTGAAGGAATGTGGTGTGTTTTTCTTGGAGTGGGGGAAACGTAGGCATGCAGTGGTTATCCCTAGATAACTTTTTTCCCCTAAAGCTTTAAAAAAAAAATGGTGGTAAAATACATATGACATAAAATGTACCACTTTAACCGTTTCTGGCTTGTTTTTTTTTTTTTTTTTTTTTTT